TCACCAAACTTCAGATTCTGAAACCGGAACCCTAAACTATAAGCTTTATAATCTGGCGCGTCCGAAACCTTAAATACAACCCAGTGCCCTAAAGTCTGAACCCAAGCTCTAAACCCTAATCAATTTAAAACATGAACCCCACGCCCTGCAACAAGCCTGAACTGCTGGGATTGGAGTGGGCGGGAAAGCGGCGCTCAAACAAACTCACCCTAAATCCTACCCCACTGCACTATATATTCTCAGAACAGCCTTGAAAGCCCCTCGCCCAAAGGGTCCAAAGTACCTCTATAGTAGAATGTAGGGTATGATTTTGGGAAGTATTCCCCATAACAGTACCTAGGACCCTTTGAACCTCCCCGGAAAGCCCCTAACATCCTTCAAAGCGCCAGGACAATGAGTGGAAGGGCCGCGGTGCCAAAGAGAAGGCCGTGAACATCCGCTCCGAGGAGCCCCGGGACTTTCCTTGTTTTGCTTCTTTTTAGGGACATTAACTGGGATACCCAATTGAGGCTATACCCTAAGGCCCCAAAGTAGTTCCTTTTTGGGGTTACCTTATAAAATTCTAAATATGAACCCCAAAAAGGAACTACTTTGGGGCCTTTGGGTATAGGTCGGCTTCAGCTTATGCTTCATAGTCTCTAGGATGCTCAGTAGTACGCTTATTCCCTTTTTGTAGTCCTAGGTTCCTTCTAAAGTTACCCAATACCAAAAAGAGAGGCCTTTTCATTCTTAGGTTACTGGGTATCCTAGTTAGGATCCTGTTTGGAGTCCATGTTGCAAGGGTGCAGCCTTCTTTTGGGTTCCTATAAGCGGGCAGGTTATGACACCGTAATCATCATAGGGTACAGCCCCTTACAACAGTAGCCCAAAGGCATAAGCATTTTATGGATCCCTACCTTCTTGGGCTTTATATAGGAGGGCTCATATGGGATATCCCGACCTTCTTCTTGCTTATGTGCTTTCCTTGTTTTGTTTCTTTGGGCTTTCAGGGTTTTGGGGTTTGGGTTTTGGGTTTGGAGGTAATGTTCTTGGGGTTTAGGGGTTAGGGTTTAGGGCTTAGGGGTTACGGTTTGGGTTTTGGGTTTAGGGTTCATAGGGCTTAGGCTAGGGTTTAGGTTTAGGTTAGGGTTTTCTGGTGGTTTAGACCTTGTTTTGACTGGTCTTGGTCTCTTCTACCATAGAGGGGTTCATGCACGGGTTGGCAGAGGGCTCTACAAGGGTTAGTTTTAGAGTTTGAGCTTATTTAGTATTTAGGGATCTATAAGTGTAGGTGTTAGGTTCTACAGGGCTTCGGATCACATGGTGTTTGGGGTTCTGGAATACGGATCCTCTGTTTTGGGTTCTTCATGAGTTTCCTCTGTTTTCTTAAACTCCCATACAGATCGGGATGTTCTAAGCTTTCTATCGGTTTCGATAGGGTTCTGTAAGGGGTTTTAGTCATTACTGAGTTGAGGCATTTGGGTTGAAGCCTCCGTCTCGAGGGGCCAACGCCGACCTTACTTGGAGGGTCTTTAGGGGACTTAGTAACTGGTTATTTTAGGGACATATAAGTACCATAACCCCAATTAGGGTCCCTTTTAGGGTACGTATAAGTCTACTTACTACCTACTTACTACCTACTTACTACCTACTTACTAAGTCCCCCGACCCTCCAAGTACCAGCCACAGCAGCCACCAAGCCAAGTTACACGCCCAGGCAACGGACACTCCAACAGCTCGGCTTCCGAAGGTCTGGTGAACAAAGTTGCCCAGCTTCCCAGACCTTCCAAAATCCCTTAATTAAGGAATATATCTTAAATCATACGAGGGATCCTATTATAATTTAAGGTATATTCCCTAATTAAGGGATTTTGGAAGGTCTGGGTTCTTCTTCGTCACGAGGACTACCTGAACGGCCTGGCCCAGAGCAGCTCGTGGGTGATGTTCGAAGGCACCGCTCCACCTCTGAGCACCATCTTAGCCCAGGCGATGGTGGGCGAACAGTGGCAGATCATGAAGGCAGAATCCCCCCGATTCCATCAAGCTTCCACTCCGCACCATACTGTTCCAGACCTGGCTCTCGGAGCTCAAGACCAGATTAGATTCCCTGGCCACCGACCCTGCCAAACAGGAAGCGCTACGCCTTCAAGCTCTCACAGAGTGGTTTAGAGGGTTCAGGGTTTAGGCGCTTTCACTGTGTTTGAGCCTTAACCGAACCCGTAGACCCAAAAAGCAGAAAGAAAGTAACTTAAACCCCAAACCCTAAAACTCTAAACCCTAAACTCGTACACCCAGACAAGCAGAACGAATGTGACTTCGTCTTGGAAAGCCTGGAAGCCCAGACGGAGCCCCAATCTAAGCACAGCAGCCTCACTGCAACCTCTCCCTGAGTGTAAACCCTAAACGCTTAACCAACCCTAAGCCAACTCAGGTTTCGTGACACCATGCAAAGTCAGCCCAGAAAGTCAGAAGGTCGGTCCATCATGGGCAGTAAACCTCTACAGCCCCTGACTTCAGTGATCTTCGGAAGTATTCTGCAGTCTCATCATGATAAAACTCCTTCTGATTTGCTTCAATCATTTTGTCAAATTTGGGGCGCGCAAGCTGAAACCTCGTACCCGCCCTAAAGTCCTCAATCAGACTGCACTGAGCCTGTGAAGCTGAACTTCTGAAGCCCGAAAACCTTAAACCCTCAACAACCCAGAGACTCCAATATCCCTTAATTAAGGAATATACCTTAAATCATAGTATGATTCAAGGTATATATTCCTTAATTGAGGGATCTTGGAGTCTCTGGGAACCCACGCAAATCCCCAAACCCTAAACCAACAACCGCAACCCTACAACGTCCCAATAAGAATTCGAACCCGCCAACCGACAAGTCGGACCGGCCCTGTGACGCTCAGGAGAAGCTGGAGCTGCAGAAAGAACTGAAGGAGACCTTAATGACTCACTTTAACTTTAGAGGCCTTGACAATTACCTGTACTATTCTGGAGGTTCCTTAGTATAATTGTAGTATACTGGGCCCCCAAAATCAAGGCCCCTATATGCCACGAGAGCCCAAGGCCAGATAAGGAAGTGATAGTGATCCTAGGGTTTAGGGTTGAGGTTTAGGGGTTCAAGGCTTAGGGGTTTATGGTTTAGGGATATATGGACTGTTTACCTTAACCTGGACCCCAAAACTATGTAGAGTAAGCCTTTTCTGGGTTTTGGGCCATTATTTTACCTGCCTTTCGGGGTCTAGGAAGCTGTGACGAAGACTTCTGGGTTGTCAGAGCCTGTTTCATTTAGATTTGGGCTTGATTCTGGGTATTTGGCTCTTCTTATTGGCTGCAAACTCAACTTTTCAACTTTCGGGGTTCTTATACGGTAGTCGACTCTGAAAGCTTCAACTTTTGTTTCCTTGAGTTTTGGGCCAGTGAGTCTTTGGGTATGGGGTCTGAAGATTCGGATGAGGCCAATGGGTCCTATGAAGGTGTTAGGTTTCGGGATGATGTGGGTGGGTGGCACTTCTGGGATACTTTTCTAGTCTATGCATACTACGTTGTTCACGGCTTTCAAACCAGTTCGGAATACATGTTGGCCGAGTGTTGCCTGCACGATGTAGGATTCCTAAACACCTGGTGCTTGCCCAAACCATAAAAGCTCAAAGTCCCAGTTTAAACTGGAAGTAAAAGCCTATAGTTGTCCTAAGCACTAAAATGGCTTGGCATACGAGACAGCTTTTCAAGCTTCCCCTATGCGCTTCTTAACCTTGTGCCGAGACTTCTTCTGATGCCAAGACAGAGGGCATTCTTTCATGTGCAGCTGGCAACCTGCCGGTACCCGCGCGGCCCGCGCAGACCAAAACATTTCAGAGTGGCATGCGAAAAGATCTTCGCCCGCATCGAGCACATATGGGGTGACAGCAAATGGCTGCGCTACTACAAGACTGAGTAACAGTGCGACCGCAGAAGGCTGCCAGGAGTTCTTGCATGGAAGCTGCTGGGCTGGACTTTCCATGCCCCCTCCTAGGATGCCCAGTAGTACCCATATTCCCTTTTTGTAGTCCCAGGTTCCTTATAAAGTTACCCAATACCAAAAAGAGAGGCCTTTTTATTCTTAGGTTACTGGGTATCCTAGCCTCGGGGGGAGCCCTCAGTTCAGGATTTCGGCTTCAGGGCTTTTCGTGGGACCCAGACCTTCCAAAATCCCTTAATTAAGGAATATACCTTAAGTCATATTAGGGATCCTACTATAATTTAAGGTATATTCCTTAATTAGGGGATTTTGGAAGGTCTGGGTTTCGTGGGAGTAGAGGTTCAGGGTTTCAGGCTTAGGGGCCTTAGGTCGATAAACTGCCTAGGTCTGTACTTGGAAGGGCAGGGGACTTAGTAAGTAGGTTATAAGTAGGGTTATAATTGGGGTAACTCCATTTAGGGTGCTTATAACTCTACTTATAACCTACTTACTAAGTCCCCTGCCCTTCCAAGTACACCCTGAGATTTGGCGGATTCGGGTTCTGCGACTGCATCTAGTTTCCATTGTGGTTCCTTTCTTGGCTAAGGTGAGGGGTCCTACATCCGAAGCTGGTTCAACCAAAACAAGGAACTACAATGGAGACTACTTGGAGGTTCATGGGTAGGTACAAATTGGGATATATTTGCACTAATATGGGTTACCCATAGGCCCCACAGTAGTTCCTTTTTTGGGGTTCATATATAGAACATATTAAGGTAATCCCAAAAAGGAACTACTTTGGGGCCTCTGGGTAATCGTAAAAGTTACCTACTTAGAACCCCACTTACAACTACCGGTGAACCTCCAAGTAAACCCTATATAAGTCCTAAGTCGCTATAGAACCCTTGAAGGAACCCTTAGAAGAGCTCTTAAAGCACCCTAAACCCCAAACCCCTAAACCCTAAACCCGTAACCCCTAAACCCTAAACCTCTGAACCCTAAACCCTAACCCTAAAAAGGAAGCCCTAATTCCCCGTCCCCTGAAGGTGCAGGCAGGTTCTTGCGAGACTGCCGTTCTTCAGACTTCAGACTTAGGCGGATTTCCTGAGGGGCCAAAAAAAGGATATACACATGAACATTTTATAGGGATATCCCTACCTTACTGGGCTTCATTATGAGGATGGGATATCCCGAACCTAATTTTTGCTGATGTGCATTTTCCGGGGCCCTCTTCCTAAGCCAGCCTGAACGAATTGTGATCTTTTGGGGCTAGGCTTTGGCCTAATATGTCTACCTCTAGATTTGTCACAATACATATATTGCTCTGTGTCACGTATTTGCGTGTTTCTGTGTTATTTGTTTTCATACCTGCTTATGTACTGTACATTCATATTTGTCAGTAGTGTGAACCTTCACACACATATATATATATATATATACACATACACATTATGTCCGTTCTGTTTTGGGCATCGACCTTTGCTTGCAGCCATTCGTGGCAACTCCGTGAGCAGGACAGAATTCTTCAGATCTCCGTTCATGAGAATGCGGGCAAGCGTGACTGCCTCGATGCCTGGCTGCGAGTTACCCAGACATTCCAAAATCCCTTAATTAAGGAATATATCTTAAATCATACTCGGGATCCTACTATAATTTAAGGTATATTCCCTAATTAAGGGATGTTGGAAGGTCTGGGTAACCGGTTTCGTGTTTCGAGGTTCATTGGACGACGGTGCCCGTGTGGGATGTCTCGTCTACAGCAATCCGCATGTGTAGTGATCTTTGCTAAGACTCCGCCACATCAGTGGAACTCGCTGGCTTCTCAACCACAAGCTCAGCAAGCCACGAACCAATGCACGAGACATGAACTGTGTATATCTACATATATATATATAAATATATATATATATATAAATATATATATATACACATTATAACATCTCGAAGAAGTTGATCACACAGCCGTCTGGTTTAGTGGCGACTATCTAAGCGACGGACCTCGGTAAAAAGTCGATTGCGAGAGAGAAAAGCCAAGCAATTGCTACTTCATTTCCTACGATCCACGGACCCGCCAAGAACACGGTTTGGGGTTTAGGGGGTTAGGATTTGATTGAGGGGTTAGGGTAGAAACAGCCAACCAGTTTGGCAATTCAAGCAGTTACTCCATCGTTTGCCGTCTGGTGGTACCGGTCCGGGCATCTATTCGGGCTTAGGCGTAGCCGTAGCTTTCGAAATACGTACAGCAAGAGAAATTCCGAGTGACATAAACCTTGAGCCCTGCAACCCACCCTAGACTCCGAAACCCGAAACCCTAAACCCTACATATCTACATATATATATATATATATAGGTATACATTGTAATATAATATATATATATATATATATATATATATAATATAATATAGTATAATATAATATAATATAATATAATATAATATAATATAGTATAATATAATAAAATATAATATAATATAATATAATATAATATAATATAATATAATATAATATAATATATATATATATATATATATATATATGTTTTTATATATACCCGAAACTCGATCCAAGGACGTCCTTGCTCGCTGCGTTGCACCGACGATCACCGGGAACCTCGACGTCAAAAAGGCCGGAGATCTCGTCCTTCCCAGGGCTATCCAGGGCTCTAAGGACTCATCTATTAAGGCTTTTTGGGCCCAAAGACCATAATGTGTAAGGCTTTTGTGCCTAATATCTTCAATCGCTACACCTTGTTCGCTTACTGCTATTTGCTAGGTTCACTTTTGTCAAGTTAGTTTTGCGCGACTTTGTTTTGTTGGCGGGTTTGAGATCTTTAGGCTTTGAGGTTTTGGGCGGTTTGAGGCTCTAGGATTTAGCGTGTCCGTTGGCTTTCTTTCCTAAGTCGTGGCCTAGGCTCACCACCGCTCAGAAGGCACCAACATCCCACTCCCCAGATTTTGTGGAAGCTCGAAACGAATACATGCCATACATCCCCCTGCCACTCCTCAACCCTAAACCTTGCTTAGCCTCAAAGGGGAAAAGGAGGGACCCTTAATGGGGACCCTACGCTATAATGGGCTATAACAATGTGTATATAATAGCTATATTAAGGGTATATACCTAGGGGTCCCTATTAAGGGTCCCTCCTTTTACCCTTGGATAGCCTAGACTTCCTAAACCCTTGTAGTATCCCTTATGGTAACCCGTCTAGAAGCCTTCACAGCGACCCTTATAGTAGCCCTTATAGACCGTCACAGTAACACTTCTAGGAACCCTGAACTTGCTGCTGCCAGGGCATTTTGCTCATGCTCGTCGGCACGGGGCTAAGACTTGCACTCGTTTGGACTTTGCTTTTCAGACCTACCATACTGATAGTAGTATCCCCTTATAACTACAACTCTCGATGTACAATATACCGAATCTATACCCGAAAACCTGATTCTGTGCGTGAAGACCCTATGTCATGGGTCTGGGCTTCAAAGGCTTAGCAGGGCACCCAATACCCCTTAGGGTTCCGCTTTATTCTTATACTTACCCCATAGCCCTTTCACAAGCATTACGCCCCCTTCCTGCTGCTCCGCTTCATTGTCTGGCTCTCGAACACCTTACTGCTTGTTGTTGGGACCTCTTCCCCAAAAGGAACCATTATGACATGAAAGCCTCATACTTTTCTCTATCCATACTTCAAAGCCCAACCAGTAGAAGTTTTACTCCAATCAGTATAGTAGCTCCGAAACCGAAAAAAGCCAGCACCGAGCAGTATTGAATTGCACGCAGAGCTTCGCAACTACTCAAGTCATGTTTGCGCCATACGGCGCCGTAACCCTGAACCTTGAAGCGGTGCCCATTGGGTTTTTTGGCGAAGAGGTTCGGGTGGAGGGTGTATACCCAGAGTCCAAGAATCCATCGTCACAGGATGCAGGACCGTAAATCTTGACTTGTCAACTGCCAACGCGAGATGGTCTTAGGCAGCACTCTCCGCACAGCCCAACGCGAATTCGATCATTGGCCAGCTGCTGCAGGTACATAAATGCACAGCCGACAGGTTCCAATTTCTGAAGCTCACATTTCAATTCACATCCTATTCTTATGCTAACATGTTTCGAACACCTTAAATCCTAAAACGCTAAGCCCTTTAGCCCCCAACCGCCAAAATGTCAAACCCTAAACCCCTTGACCCCCCCCAAACCGTAAAGCCTAAACCCAATCAGCCTAAGGAGCCATAGCTGAAATCAAGCTCGACCCTTGAGATCCCAACTCTGGCATGCGAGAGACCTGACACGTCGGCGTGAAGCTGCTTTCCCAAAGGCTCCATGTAGCCATATACTTATTATACCCTAAAGTACCGAAACCCCTTTAAGGCCCAAGTATATACTATAGGGGTACATGGAGCCTTAGGATTTCTCACTACAGGCAGCGACAAGAAGAGCACGTCAGACGGCATCAAGATCAGAGGTGACCTCAACATTTGCCTGCTGCTGGCCTGGAGAGTCGTAGCCCGTAATGTAGGAACCTGATTAAGAAACCCTGGGCCTATAACACCAAAATAGTCAGATTCATAAAAGGAGCCCTAATAAATGCCATAGGTTCTTAATCAGGTTCCTACATTAGCACCCGAAAAATGCATCGATTTTCGCTTCAGGCCGTGAGGAACAGGAGGCGAGTCCTGAACTCGAGAGCTTTTTTTCAGCCCTCAATCAATAATCCTTCAGACTCAGTTTTGAGCATAGAGCAGGGTCTCGCCTAAATCCAAGAAGCCTATACTGCCCGAACACCAAAGCCTGACACCGTTCATCCCAGAGTCCGAAGCCCTGAATTTTCAGCCATGCCACAACTCTGTAAAGTTTGTGGTTCATTTTTCGCAGCCCGACTAGCTTTCTAAGACGATGCGCAAGGGAATCCTACTAAGAAAACCTACACCGGTTGGTCTCAGGGGCGCTGGGTTTTCGCATTCTATACCACCCGTCGCTGCAGCGGTACACTCTTTTATGGAGGAATACTCCGTGAATTGTGAACGGCATTTACTGTTACTCCTATGAAATACGGAAACTGCCGATATGGCGAACTATCAAGCATTGGGCTCTCTAAAGGACGCTTGGCGGCAAAATCCGTGGTAAGCGCCTGTTCTATGCAGAGTTAGACATGAGCGTTCCTGCGCCATGCCAACCCCCAATAAAGCATCCCTACCTAGACCCCCCAACTACCCTCTAATATACCCCAAATAATTCCCACTATTAAGGGCCATAAGGACTCTATTAAAGGGCCTTTGGGGGTTCTTGGTAAACCCTAAACCCCTAAACCCCCAACCCCTAAACCCTAAACCCTCAGAAGTCGACCCCCCCAAGCCCATACTATGAGGGCCTTAAGAATTAGAATAGTCGGTTCCGTTGAAGGATCGTTAAATGGGTCTATAAGGGCTACTATAAGGGGTATAATGGGGGTTTAGCATAAGGCCTTAATAATTAGGATAGGGTTTGGGGGTATATTCTAGTACAACTACAACAAGGAACCCCACAAAGTAGTCATTTCCCGAGGAAAACAGAACTCCCAGCCCCGAGACCACCAAAAACATCCGCAGCCCCCAAACCCCGCACAAGCCCCGAAACGACGGAACAGCGGATGTTCATGGGGAGTTATAAACGGGGTTAGAAGTCGGGTATCTACAACTACTATCCATACTGGACCTAACCCCACTGAAAACTAGCCATGAACTTACAAGTAGCACCATGTATGATTTCCCATGAACCTACTAGCAAGGCTAGGGGATCCTGCTACGGGCAAGAGCGAGATGCTTCGCTGGGTCTCGAAGTTCTTGCCGTTTCCTGGACCGCAGATAGGAGGTTTTTGCGGTTGAGGGTTCGTGGGTTTGGTGTTCCGAGTTTTGCTGCGATTACATGCAAGTTTTGCAACGCTCACTGTCGTTCTCGGCTCCAGTTGTGTATGCATGTGCGGAGTTCTGTTGGTGTGGTCGCGGCAAGGTCGATTTGGCGGTTTTCCCGAAGGGGTTCTTATAGCCCTAAACTCTACACCCGAGACGGTACAGTGGGGGAAAATATAATTTCACATTATATACGTTTTAGAAAATACATTCTTTATTGTTAGTTGGACCATATTGAACCGTTCGCGTCTGGGGTGAGTCTCGCGCCCGGTTCCCGCGTTGCCAAGATGACTTCTGAAGCGGCTTTCGTTGCCGTGTTCGCATGGATATCAATGACTTCGTTGTCACTAGTAACTACTGTGCTGTTGATGATGAGCTTTCGTTTCGATGCATTGACCATGTATTAGGCATGTTTTCTGCAACGACACCACCGTCTCTTTCCGACAGCATCGCGTGCAGACGCTCAAGCATGTGATGCTCTGCTCTTGTGCCACCTTGTGTCCTTTCGTCAAAAGTGTCGCCCGCAGGTTAAGATCTGGATCCCGAGCATTGTGGAATATGACTTTGGGGTAGCACCAAACACCCCACACATCTCAAAGGTTAAGTTGGTTTAAACACGTTTCGGAACTTAGCGCAGAGAGAGAGTTTGCTCGAAGCAGCTATGGATTAATTTCGGTCTTAGGTAACCCTAACCCTAAACCCTAATGACTCATGTGGTCATGGAGCTCAGGCGTGCCGTCTTTGCGGCTGGGAAGTCGTCCACTGCCGCAGGCACCCTTCGAGTATTTCAAGCGTCAAGCGGTTCAATTAGGAACAAGCACTTGCATATGTGTAGAACCTTCGTACAAACCAAACTTAGCATATACATGTGTGTGTATATATGTATATATATACATACATACATTTAGGTACAAACATACATACACTTGGACATATAAATGTATGTGTGCATCTGTATGTACGTATGTAAAAATAAATAAATAAATATATATATATATGTATATATATATACATATATATATACACATATACATATACATATACATATACATATACATATACATATACACACGCACGCACACTCCAAACCGCTTAGTGATACCTTCGACAGGGCGCAAGTTGAGAAGAATTGAATCATTTGTTGCTTCATTCAGGTGGAGGCCGCTGCATCAAGTCTGCCCAGACCTTCCAAAATCCCGTAATTAAGGAATATACCTTAAATTATAGTAGGATCCCTAGTATGATTTAAGGTATATTGCTTAATTAAGGGATTTTGGAAGGTCCGGGCATATATATATATATATATATATATATACATACAATTAGTCCTGCCCCCGGCCTGCTGCGAGCGGCTACAAATGGGCTAAATAAAAGATTCGTGTTTTGCATGACGAAGATATCTGAATCTTTGCAAAAATCCCAGCCCCTGACTTAAGACCTCAGACTGTGTAGTCCTCGAAGCTCTCTCACTCTCTCTCCATCCCCCTCTCGCTCTCTTTCTCCTTGTCTCTCTCTTTGTCTCTTTCTCTCTCTGTCTCTGGCTCTCTCTCTCTCTCTCTCGTTTTCTCTCTCTCACTCGCACACGCGAAGAGTGAAATGGACGTAACTGCACGTACGACACAACGACATGCGACAACTGCTTTAAACGATTCCGAGTTTGCAGCCGCATGTTCATGTACCTGTATAGTTGACCCCAAATACCGAACAATTCTTGGCCGGCGTCGACTATGAACATGTATGCAAGCATGCGTGCGCAAGTCTCGCATACGTTCCTTTTGTTTTCTAACATGCACGTCTGTAAGTATGCATTTGCACATGGAGCAGTTTGAGCAGGCGCTTCAGACCAACACGTGACTGCCGACTCCATATGGGCGGTTGTCAAAATTATGGTCCCTGTTTGGGTCCCTATTATAATACGGCACCTAATACTTAGGGTACCCTAGAAGGGACCATCATTTTGACAACTACCCAAATGAAAATGTATGTGTTCGCCAAGCCAGAACCCTGCACCTGAAGCAGAAATCCGAGACCTCAAGCCTATCTCTAAACCCTAAATCGAGCCCTTGGCCAAGAAGACATGTCTGACTGAAAGGAACCCTTCTGAGGGAACCCTATGAAACGAACCACTAGAGTCACTAGAGGTACCAACAAAAAACAAACCAAAGACCAGCCTGTTGCAGGTCTGACGGCCTCTGTGGTGAAGGCTCCGCCGTAAGTTTATCCGGTTCGGTGAGGGTTCGGTTCAGGGCCGGTTTGGGGTTTGGAGGTTCAGGGTTTAGGGAAAGGCAACGGGGGTTGGGTCTTTGGTAGAATGCTCTAGTTCCGGATTGTATTATTTCGGTCTACGGGTTTCAGGGAGCTCTTGCGTCTGCGGGTTGTAGGATTTTGAGCTCTTGCTAGGGCTCTAGTGGCTCCGAGATCCCCAAGCCGTCCGGTTATTCCGGCGTTCCCCAAACCGCCAGACATTCTTTCACAATCAACCCTAGGTATATACCCTTCATATAGCTATTATATATACCCATTATATAGCCCATTATAGGGTAGGGGTCCCCTGTAAGGGTCCTTCCCATGCCAAGACAGCGCCTCGAGGGTGAGAATCGCCATCAGATTATCAGTATCAACGTGACAAGACAGCTTCCACACAGCGACGCTGTGGTGAGAACCCAAGAAAGCTCCTGTGGTAGACACTAAAAACCCCCCATAGCCCCTCTTATATCCTTTATAAACGCTAAGCTACAACATGCCGTGGTATGTTCTGCCTTCGCCCTCCACCCTCAACATGCCAACGCAGCTCCTTGAGCGTGGTCGGGTGGGTTTAGGGATTCTTCAGGAGATTTCCGCTAAAGGCAAACTAAACTATGAAAAACCGAACCCGTGGCCCTACAAACCAGTGACTCCCAAACACTCAATTCGAGATTATACCTTTAAATCAATTCTACGGATCTCCTTTTCGTTTCGCTTACATTCTTGAATGAGGGTGCCCCTAAACCTTACCTTAACTCCGAAGAACCTACATCTTGAAGGTCTTATATAAAGAAATCATAATAAGGAACCCTAAAAAGGTAGGTTATTCAGGGTTAAGCCCTAATCCCTTTTTAGTTTGTTTTATTTTGGAAGCCTCGAAGCCGAAGCTCTGTCACAGGAGGCGGATCTCGACAATGAGCGGCTGATCCAACCTGGAGCGTTGATGCTGGCTGCCAGGGGCCCAGTGGGTGTAGGGTTCAGGTTTTCCTTTAAAGGGATCCTTAAGGGGCTTATAAGGGATGTATAGTAGGGTTCTATATAGTAGGGGCTTGAATAATTACGCACCTATATTGGGGGATTCCTTGTGATAGTTATAGTATAATATGACCCAAAACCCTATTCTAATTATTAAGGCCCCTATATTAAGCGCTTGGGGGTTTGGGGGCGCAGGGTTTCGGACTTCAAGGCATCGGATTCCAGGGTGTTTGGTGCTAGAGTAGAAGCCCAACAGTTGGAAACCCAATAGCCTCAACCCTTAAGAGTAATGTATAGGGAATCCCAGCACTATTTGGCCTTAATCAGGTTTCCAACTTTATGGGGTTTACTGTAAAGCCTCTAAGCGCTAAACCCTTTACACCCTAAACCCTAAACCCATGAAGCCCTAATCCCTCCACCCTGATTCCTGCACGGTCCTAAGTGGGTTATAAGTAGGGCAACTACATTATGGGGTTTGCTGCTGAGTTGTGTGTTTTTCCCCGCTGGTTGCAGGAGATCCTGGCTCCAAGGGTTTTGGCTACGGCCTTTCTAGGGCTCTTTATTATGATTTCTTTATATAAGGCCTTAAAAGGGTAGGTTATTCCGGGTTAAGGTAGGCTTTAGGGAGGGTTAAGGCGTGTTGACGTTCAGACATCATGTTATTACGCTGTCCAAACCTGTATACAAGTAGAACGTGGGCATTCATTCGGCGATTCGTAAGAGCATCATGTCGCGTACTAGAATTCGCGAAGCAAGGTGCCGTATATGTGCCTTCCTTGCTTTCCCCATCTCAGACGTTTGGGAGCTACTAGTAGGGCTTCGATGTGGATGTCGGAGTAATTACGATTCGTATCCTGAGCATACGTCAAAACAATTGTAGTTAAGAGTAGGGTGACCGTGGAATGTCGGATTTTGCCAATTTCCTTGGAAAGCGATAGGACCCCCCCCCCCAAAAAAAAAAAAAGCGATACGAATAATGAAGATCCGCGGTATTTGTGCCTAGATTTTCCGTGTGATATATGGCTCGGCAATCGATACCCTAATCGATACCCAATCGATACCCTAATCGATGCCTACTAGATCGTTTTATGAGCCACTGCCCCACAGGGCAAGCTACGAGTAGGATCAGTGAGTCTGATTCTTCTTACTTTCACACGAGCAAAGCGATACCTCACAGAAACATGCGACGGAAGCCTCGTAAAGTGAGAGGACCCCCCCAAATCATCCATGGTCTAGCCATGAACCAGAAGTTTTGACAAACGCTCTTATAGTCCCCATATAGTAGTACTACATAACATGCCCCCAAACTTAAGCGCGTTCGAGTCGAACTCGCAGCCTCGCGACGCAAAATACCTCCAATCCCGGTTCTCATCATGGCGGCCTTGAAAATAAAGTTTCGGGTTACCCGGTTCGACTCTATGGTGTTACGAGCGGCAGGGGAAGAAAGAGCCGAAAAGGTTCCCAGATTCCAGGCAGTTTCTGGTGTAGACAGCGAGACCCGTTTGGGGCTTTGGGCTTTCTGGTTTAGGGTGTCGGGCCATGGGTTAAGGTTTTAAGGCTGAAGGTGCGGGGTCATGGGCTTAGCATTTTGGTTAAGCGTGATGGTTGATGTTTGTGGGATTCAGGGTTTGGTGGTTGGGACGTAGTACCACACGCTCGACATTAAGAAGAACTGCTGGAACATGTGTTCTAGTATGTTAACCCTAAGCCCGAAGCCTCTGAACCCTGAACCCTAAAGCCCTAAACCGTAACATACCTGCGAGCCGGAAAAGAGGCGCTTCAGACAGCAAAAGCACCCTTAAATCGTGAACAATAGGGATCCCCTGCTGAGGACAGCGGCATTTGCTGCATCGATGAGTTCCACTGCATGGATGCCAAGGCCTCCCAACATCGCTACAGCGGTTCAAGCGGCCTTCTCAAGGTTTAGGATTTAGGGTTCAGGTCAGGATGCAGCAAAAGGCCTTCTAAAGGTTTAAGGTTCAGGGTTTGAAGAGGCCTTTGAAGGTTATGGTTCCGTAGGGTTCTACCTGTCTTCCTGGGCTTTCACAGTTGTAGATGGTTTTGCGGGATTTATGGGGTGTTAAGCGATTTTAACAGGGTTCTGAGATGTCGTTCAGGGTTTGTAGAGGACCACTCGTCGCGATTTGAAGCACAGCAGTGGTTCGACGAGGAGGTATACCCGTACCAACGAAGTAAACGCAACAGTAAGAGTAACTGTAACAGTAGCAACGCCGACGACGTAACTGCAAGGGTTTCAATCCCAGCAAGAAAGTTAACCGCAGCAACAACTTCGACAGCTACTCCGCTACCACCAAAGACTATGGAAGGAAAAGGCCAAACACCAAACGCATCAGCAGCATCTGGATCAGACGACAAGCACTACAGCGAGCAAACCCTCTACTCACAATTGGTGGCAGATGGCTTCTGTAAACCCTGAACTCACACCATACACCATTAAACTCTATACCCTCAACCCTAGATCCTCCCTATACCCTGAAGCCTAAATCTTCACCTCTATACCTTATTCTACACCTTGAACCCTAAATCCTACGTAACTGTATGCTTCTTTGTGCAACCTGCCGTCTCCAGCTTGTGGCCGGGTTCCTCAAGGCAAAGTCCAGTGCTCTCGAACTTCAACCCACGCCCTTCTACGTCTAATCTGCAAAAACTCATGTCATATGTGTGGATAGATATAGGGGTGGGTGTGTGTGTGTGTGTCTAGATGGTTGGGGAATTTGCTTCGCGTATGTCTTTGGGTGTCCAGTGCTCTCGAACTTCAACCAAAGCGGTTTTTATGTCTACTCTGACTACAGCTCATGTATGTGTGACTGTATGTATGTAGGTGTGTGTGTATATATATATATATAGATGGTTCAAGACTTTGTTTCGTGTATGTCTTCGGGTCTAGGGCTTAGGGCTTTGAGATGGTTCAGGGTAGAGCAAAACCCGCTCCTTCTTGTCGCGCGGTTTCGGGTTCAAAGCCAAACCCCAGTCTTCTCCTTGGAGGGTCTTTAGGGGACTTATAGTAAGTAGGTAGTAAGTAGACTTATAAGTACCCTAAAAGGGACCCTAATTAGGGTTATGGTACTTGTAAGTCCCCAAAATAACCAGTTACTAAGTCCCCCTAAACCCTAAACCCTATACCCTTATAGAATCCCTATAGATCCCTTTAAAGGAGCCCTTAAGGAACCCATAATGTTACTAAGTCCCCCGACCCTCCAAGTCCCCTGGCTTCGCAGGACATGACGGCAATTCATGAGGCTATGGAGCAGCAGACAATTTCGCTCTCCAAGGCCCGATCGAGTACTCCCGATGCGACGCCTATCCCTTGCTACTACTACGACTACTATCACTACTACTACTACTACTACTACTACTACTACTACCACTACTGCTACCACTACGACTGCTCCTGCTACTACTACGACTACTATCACTACTGCTACTACTACTACTACTACTACTACTGCTGCTGCTGCTGCTGCTGCTGCTGCTACTGCTACTGCTACTACTACAACTACTACTTTACCTCCTGCTTCTGCTGCTGCATGTACGTCGACATACTACTGCGTAGCAACTATAGAAATCTGCTGCTGCCATGACGACGGACTCTGCCACTGTCATCTGACAATACCGGTAGTGAGGTGGAGTAGTAGGATGTTGTTGCTGCTTGCATTGCAGGTCCGTGGGTAGTTTCAAGTGGGGTGAGAAGCTCTCTAATATGTGTGATAGTTATGGTTATCCTAGATCCCTAGAAAACCTGGTTCCGGAAACCTTGTGCTAGCTTTCGTGCAGGCGGAAAAAGGTGCTGAAAAAAAGATCCCTAGAAAACCTTTAAGGGAACCCCTAAAGGATTGTAGGGAAGCCGCTGAAGTGTGCAAGGCCGGCATCAAAGCGACGCTGAATGACACATGGCTGCATCGGTATAGGGTATTTTATGGTTTTTCTGGTTTACAGGGGTTAGGGTGCAGGATTTGTTATGGTTCATGAAACCCTAACACCTAAACCCTAACCCGTCTGGGTTTCGGGTGTGTTATGTTTACTTAATTTTTGTTTTACCCTAAAACCTAAACCCTACAGAGTTTGGGATTCGGGTGACTGTGATCTTCACTGGATTGGCCAAGAATTTGGTTCCAGGGGTACCGGAGACTCTGCCCTGAGTCTGAGTCCTTCACCCCAAATTGTTGAGAGTATCAGCGGTTTAAGGTCTATGGGGTTTAGGGTTTATCGGGTTTAGGGTTTACGGGCTTTGAGGGCTTTAGGGTTTTAGGGGGTTTGGGGCTTAGAGTTTAGGGTTTAGGGTTGAGTATCATCAGCCTCCTGTGATTCGAGGTTTAAGTTGTCGCACCTTTACACTCGTGGATCGTACTTGTCGGATTGTTTCTTAAGTGCAAGCATATCCACTTCTAAGGGCCATCAGGGCTCTGTTAAGGGGCGCTTGGGGCGTCCGGGAATAAAACTAGACTATCAATTAATATTACTCTATTCCACGCTAAACCCTAAAACCCCTCTGCCCTAAAAGCCCAAAACCCTCCTGTATAATTACCTGGACCCCAAAACTATGTAGAATAATAGCCTTTTATAGGTTTGGGGCCAATATTTTACCTACTTTTCGGGGTCTAGGTACACAAACATTACTTGGAGGGTCGGGGGCGGGGGACTTAGTAGCTGGTTGTTTTAGGGGCTTATAAGTACCATAACCCCAATTCGGGTCCCTTCTAGGGTACTTGTAAGTCTACTTACTAGCTACTTACTAAGTCCCCCGACCCTCCAATTAGAATAATATTGGATTTTGGAAGGTTTTGTGCTCTTCCATCCCAGGCCAGGGCTTCCATTTTGGCCTCCGTCCTGCCAAAGACCACCTACTATCAGCGCCCTGGCTTGCCTAGTGTTTAGGTTTAGGGGTTTAGGCTTATATGGTTTAGGTTTAGGGGTTTAAGCCTGCATCATACTTATAGTTCTATGGGTGCTCTAAGGGGAAGTTTTAAACTGACAGGTTATTAAGTTTGAGGTGCTGGTGTTAGGGTCTACGTCGAGTCTTCATTGTTAGTCGTTTTTCAGATGGCCCAATTACCTACTTTAAAACGTACACTACTTTAAGTGGTTGGTTTTGGGTCAGTCAGGGCCGGGGCGGGACAAGTAGCGAAAAGTATAGTGTTTTGGGTGGGTTAGGGACTATGGTTTTGGGAGTTTAACTGCCGGGGCTTTGAGTTTTAGGTGTTTTTTGTGGTATGAATTGTGGTCGGAAAACTTAGTTAATTTTGGGGGGATCATTTGAGGGCAGAAATTAGCTGTTTCGGTATTGGGGTGCGAAGCTAGATTTCTGAAATAGTATATGAAAAGGTTATCAACTTCAGAGGCCTTTCGTCGTTCGCTTTTCGTTGGCCATCGAGCACATCGTTTTCATCCTCGACGTGGACGTTCGGAGGTGGCCCTGGCAAGTGTTGGGGTTTGGGTTTGTGCGTGCAGGAGTGTTGCTTGCCAGTGCATGTCACCTGAGTTTGTGCAGTTGCAGCTGAGCTTGCATGGATTGATTTTTTCGGCAGCATTCAGTGGCCCCAAAGTGCATTGATGTCCCGATCATGTCACAGATCTTACTTCTAAATACCATTCTCACTTTCCCAGATTTCACAGCTTTCTTTTTGGTCGCTCGGGGTTTCTTGGTCGTTCGGTCTTTAGGCCCTTCGGGTTGTGTTGGTCGTTCGGTCTTTATTTAGGCCGTTCGATTTTTGGTAGTGTCGTCACGATGTCTCTCGGCGGCCGCAATGGACCTCGTCGTGCGAATGAGGACCTGGACTATGAGCAGCTCGAGGGCAACATCGACGAGGGGTCGTTCTGGCAGGGCCCGTTGATCGTTGCCTGGGGGGCAGAGGAGACATATGCCACGTCCAGTCGTACGGGGGTCGTTCGTAGCTTGCCTTAAATTATGATGCCAGGGATGTGTGACTGTGTGGCTTCAGGTGTCACTTCAAGGCTGTCCAATCAGTTTGCGATCTAAGGCCAGAAAGGCCACTCGGTAATGCCGGCGTTCTTGAAGAAGAGGTGGTATGAGTTGATGGGGACCCAGACCTCCATCGACGTTCGGGGCATGTGGCCTAACGATAAGGAGGCCGCTCGAGTTGCTGGCAACTTGGTTTAATTAATTGATTAAGGCGGCTTGTGAGGTTTGGTCGTTCGAGGGTTTTTGAAATTGAGGTAACCCGCTCTGCGTGTATGCCGCCTGGCGAGCGGCGTTCGAGCAGCAAGAGTTCATCCCGGCCTTCCTTGTTTGCTACAACCTGCTCCAGGCCCTCGTGCCGCTCGAGGGTCGTTCGGTTTTGCAGATCATTTGTAGCCTGGATGCATCTAGGGACATTCCGTGAAGCCAAAATATGATTGAAGCCATGATTTATCCAGCATGACTCCAGTGCAACCAAGGCTCCCATGGCAAAAACCGCTCGGCGTCCATCGGGGTCGCTCTGAGTGCTTTGTGTCGCATCCCGATTTGGCTCCCGACGTTCGGAGATGCCCATCGGGAGTGGTGGGCGATCGCCCAATTGCCGGACGTGGCCATGGAGGAGCTGCAAAACTTGGTGTCGTCCAACCGGCCGGTCAAAGGTCCCCAGACTCCGCCAGGTCCCCCGGGGGCCCCGCCTCCCGGTGGGGTTCAATACCAAGGGACGTTCGACAAGGCGGATATGGGGGCCTCCATGCCATCCCTTGGCCATCCGATTCGAGATGCCGCCTCTCGGATGGATAGTGTTGTGATCTTTGCGATTCGGTTGTTGCTTCATGGCCTCGCGAGGTTCGCTATGAGATATGGCAAGTGGCGCCCGCCGTGCTCCTGGAGCTCGACGACCTTCGGTTGGACGACCAGTGTATGCGGGCCTTTCGGATAGCATTTAGTAAGCATGCCGACAGGAGTGAGTTCAGACTTGCATTTGAAAACATCCACTTTGAATCCTGAGTCTATCTCCAACATGGCCGGCCGTGGAGTGGAGGGGGCGCAGTTCGTGCGTGAGCTTTTCCAGATCTTCCAGCGAGACTTGGCTGCTTTAGTTGGGTCGTTCGATGGTCGTTCGGTTTCGCGAAATTTTGTAGCTGAGGCTAGAATCAGGAGGACCTTCGGAAGTACGACAATCCGTCGGCCGCAATTACACGGGCCATTCGGAAGGAAATGGATCGCTTGCGGCCGGAGATCCCGGGGCTGCCTGGCATCTTGGACCACAATAACTAAAGTGAAGTTGTGCTTAGACTCAGCTGATAGGGCAAGTCCGGTTGGCCTGTGTTCTGAGGAAGCAGTGGCGATGGTCCTCGCCGTTCGGACGACCCGCCTCGCGATCATCGTCCTTCGGGCAATCGTTCGGACTGGGGTGACTACGATCCCCCTCGCCGTTCGGACGACCGTGGTGGCTTGCATGCACGAGGTTAACCAGTGAAGCTGCGGTTTTGACTTGGGACTTGGTCGTAGAGTTGAATCGAACCGGGTCTGAGGCGACGATCGTGACCGCCGTGGCCCTGGTCCTGGTCCTCGCTACGGCGATCGTCGTTCGGAGGACAGGGACTATTACAACCGCGATCGTCGCCCGAACTTCTACGACGATCGTGATCGCGATCGTCGCCCGGGCTATCGCTTTGAGCGGCGGGACTACGACGAGATCTCCGATCCGGGCCACCCGGGACGTCCGGCCCCTCGCTACGGCTTTTCGGACGAGCGGGTCGCTCGTCCAGCAATGATTGATTCATGTGCTTTGTCACTTGTTTTGGCCGTTCGTTTTGCATGGCTTGCATTGAATAACAGTGTTACATTGCAGCTGCCGAGGATCGCCAGCGTCGTCGCTACTAGGCCGTTCGTGACGGCCGTGCCTAGGCTTAACTTGAACAGTCAGTTATGCTTGCAGCGAGTTGAACTTCATTGAACGTGCATCCGACTAAGGTTCGGACTGGGCCATTGGAGCCCAGCAAGCTGCGATCCTGATGTCGTTCGTTCGTCCCGGGATCTCGCGGCCAGCCTTTTTTGCGGGACGGGCGAGTAGAGCCAGCCCGCCGACAGGGGCAGGGGGGAAAAAGGAGAACGTGTTTGCGTGCACTGGAAGCTGTCTTTTGCCATGCAGCATCAACATGTGCTGCTTCTTCTGACTTCGTGGCAGGTCCTGGACGTTCGGGAGGCCGTGGCGGTGTTCGTGTCGACAATCAAAGCAGGCCGGCCGACTTTAATTAGAAACTTCGGGTAGTATGGAATTCGTGGGTTTTGCGGGTTGGTTTGTCGCTCACTTTGGAGTTCGTATTCGGGATCGGGGTGTTCTTTGATCAGGTTTGGCCGTTCGTGTGGGACACATGATAAGTGAGTGAGCCCCGAGCCTGTAATTTTCCCAAACAACAAGCCCCAGTAACAAGCCCCTAGATTCGACTTTAGAAACAGCTATATATCTCTGGTTGTAAGCTACAAAGAAGCATTCTACCTCCTGTATGTGAACAAAAAACAAAGCTTCGGCCAGACCTATAAACCCAAAACACAAGCACCCGTGGCTAGTTTTACAGCATATCTAATTTCGGTAGGACAGAACTTTGAGTAACCAAAGCCATCATTGTACAAACCAGGCCCAACGTCGTTCGAACTGAAAACAAGGCCCAAACCAAGCCGCCTTTTCCCCGGCAGGAGCGGGCGTGAGCATCTCGCAGGTCGTTCGGCGGGTTTTCGGCGTTCGGGATTACTTTGCACTAGCTTGGAGGGTTTAGATTGGTGCTAGTAACACAGTCTACGGGAAGCGAGGACGTTCGGAAGACCCCAAACACATCCTAAACCACACAAGCTAAACCTTAGAGCTTAATGCTAAATCTTAGAGCCCCCAAACAGACCACAGACTGGGAGCCCAAACCCCAAGCCCTTTAGCGACATGCCTTGAGTGTTTTTTGGGACGTTCGAAATGCATTGGATCTGTGCGTGTGTGCTTCTGGTTCCAGGGTTGAGATAGGGCACATCAGTTAGTAGGAAAGCCCCCGTCATCATCCGTGCTGCTTGGTCCGTCGGTCGTTCGTGGTCCTTCGGACTTGCTTTGCTTTTCGTCTTCGTCGTCGTTCGTGGTCCTTCGTGGTCTCTCGTAGGCCTCACGACCCATGGCGAAATCGGGCTCGGCAGCGGCGAGTCGCAAGGCGGCCGTAGCAAAGAAGCAGGCCGACAAGCAGGCCGCTCGACGTCGGGCGAAGGAAGAGAAGCTCGCCAAAAAAAGCGAGAAGGTCTTCGCGAAGTCTCTCGCCAGCTTCCAAAAGTCCTCGGCCGAGCGAGCGAGGGCCTACGTGGACCAGCAGCTGGACGACAACCCAGGTTGGGTGCGGCCTCTCGCGGATTTGATGCGAGACGGAGCTCTCCAGGCACTGATTCGCAACGGTGGGACGGAGGCCGACGGAGGCCGGTCGTCTTCGAGCATGGCACCACGGTGGACAGGCAAAGCGAAAAGCTTTGGTTGTTTGCCGGACGAAGCCAAAGCTCACATGCTTGAGGTCATCGGCGTGAAGATCCCAGAAGATGGCACCGATGAGGACACTCTCACGGCGTTCTTTTGTGTGCAATTCTTTGTCGATCCGGACACCAGCCTCCCGCCCAACTGTCGGCCGTTCGATGTGTTGACGGAGATGGCCGAGGCCCGTTTCAAGCAGCTCGGGTCCACGAGAATCGCCACCGAGGTCAAGGAAACGGAGTGCTACACCTTCACCCCGCCATTGTCGATCAAGTGCCCTTTGACGGACGAGGTGGTCACTCTGCCACCGTTGACGGGTGAGGATACGTGGGAGTTGACAGATCCAACTTTGCCATCGTGCTCCGTGCAATCAAAGGCAAACCCGGCCGTGTCGTTCGCCGTTCGCAGTCTCTTCCAGCTGCTAAGGCCGATCGACCCAGAGGCCAAGTGGAATGGCAAGAAGAAGTGAGCTTTCCTTGTGCGTCTCACGGGGTTCGGCCGTTGTCGTCACTCGCACAACGGCAGTTTTGGCTGGGGTCGCAGCCGCAATCTTTGTGAAAAGCTGTTTGTGGCTGCTATGGGGCGGAAAAAGCTACCCTTTAGAGTGCTGTATGCCCATTTGAACACATTTCAGCTGTATCGCCGGTGTTTTGTATGGTTTTGCTAGGGTTTTGCAAGGGTTTCTGCTGGTTTCTTGGTATACAGCCAATCCTTGACTTTGAGGGCGTCATAAAGGCATGGTTTTCAGAGTGGTGCGTTTCAGTGTTTTTCAGGTGCGTTTCAGGTGCGTTTCAGCTTTTTTCCGAGGTTTTTGCTTGGTTTTGGGGCCCCTCGTGCAACTTGCTGCCAGGTCGCTCGGGAGACGAGTGCGTGGTCCTCGGCGTGCACTGTCTGCCTTGCGAGGAGGTGAGCTTTCAGTCTGTGCCACAGTGTGTTCCTACGGCTACTGCAGGTTTTTAAGCTTGAAAGGCTGAGCAGCAGATGAACACACATGGGCATCATCATGAGTCCGGGTTGCTTTGTCTCTAAGTAGTCAAGTTAGTCGTTTTTAAAAGTTGTATTGTAAGAGCATCCCAGAAGTCCATTCAATTTTCCGCTAGATCACACTGTTGTGATGGCGTCCGTGGTTGCACAAAAGGGTGTTAAAGCAGAGGGCGAGGACGAGGTCGTTGAAGTGAAGTCAGAGTCAGAGGGTGAAGACAAGGTCGTTCGAGCAGAGGCAGACGTCGTTCGAGGGCGGGTCGTGCGTGCGGTGGTTTTGCCGTGCGGGGCGAAAGGCAACTTCAAAGGCGAGGTCTACGAGTTTGCCGAGCCTGTGCAAGCCGAAGACGGGCTGTCGACACCGGGTTTTTTCTTCTGGTTGTTTCGGTGGCTGGTCGATTTCCTTGGTGGAAATCAGATCCCCAACTTCGGGGGGCGATCGCGAGCCACTCTGCTTGGCCGAACGGCCAGCCTGTTGGCCGATGGTCTTTCATCGTCGTCGGAGGAGGAGGAGGGCGAGAAGAAGGGGTCGTTCGATGGCGGGATCGTCAAGGAGGAGGACGAGGAGGAGGAGGAGGAGAAGAAGCACGATGAGGCGGAGGACACTCGGAGGCGACAGGCCAAAGTGCCGATCGCAGAGCAGCACTTGACGGTGTCGAGCATCATGTCACGGCTGTCTGGAGCGAAAAGAAAGTCCGGAGGCAGGGTTGATGACGAGGACGTTGAGATGGAGGTCAAGGACGACGACGAGGAGCTGGAGGCGGTGGACGTTCCTGGAGACTCCGTCGACGAGGCAAAGGCTCCCCGGTTGAGGGGCGACTTTGCTTTGTCGTCGTTCGCGATGTTGGTCTGGATGTCAAAGCTCATGGTCTCGGGGCCTCGGGCCGGCTCCCGATGGATGCTGGACTCTGCGGAACTGAAAGGTCGCTGCCGGGCCTTTCTCCAAGGTCTTTCGGACACGTTTTGGCAGAACGTCCAGGGCGACGTGTTTCAGGTCGTGCGGGGCGAGCTGGCCGTGGATGTTCTGACGGCCGCCGAAGGCAAGCTGGCCGCCAAGATCTTCAACAAGAAGAAGACGGTGTCGGTCGTGGCGGCCATGGCCACCCTGCAGGGGGACGTCTCTCGTCGTTCGCTCTCGGCGGATCGCAGACGGCTCGCGGAGAAGCTCTTCAGCCGTCTGCTGCAGTCGCTGGCGAAGGCCATCGACGACTCTCGCGGCCAGGACATCTGGACGGCCAGCAAAGTGGAGTCTCTCGAGCAGCTGAGGACTGCTTCCTATATATTATACGATCCATAATCCATATAGTAGTTCGTTTTCTAAGTTGAGACCCATTAGGAGAGGGTGGTGCGTTTCAGAGTTTTTCAGGTGCGTTTCAGGTGCGTTTCAGCTTTTTTCCAAGGTTTTTGCTTGTTTTTTGTATTGTCCCTGGCAGGACGGCCCGGGGCTACCGGAAGGTGTCGCACGGATGCCAAGAGGCCGTGCTCGAAGCTGGGCGGTCGGCAGGACCTTCGGTGGCGGCAGCCTTGGCAGCACAGGGCCACTTCAGTGGCAAGGCTGCGGCGGCTGGCGGCAAGGAGGTTCGACGAAACAAAGAGAGACCAGGCAAGTTTCTGGAGGCCGAGCGTCTCTCTTACGTGGCAGCTGGCAGGGCCTCTTTTGCTCAGACGACCGTGCTGAGTGTGGTGGCCGATGCGGTGCACGTCGGAACAGAAGATTGGCTCAACGTCTTCGTGTGTGACCCCGGGCAGAACTTGTCGTTCGTCTGCCCGCCGCAGGCCGTGAGGGAGGGCGGCTTGAAACCTTTTACTAGAGAGGTATGTTTGCAGAGGGGCTCTAAACTGCTTGAATTTTGGTTCCCTTTCTGATAGCAGAAAACCTGCGGTTTAACGGCGCCTAAAAAAACCAACGGTTTAACGGCGTCAATTGCGCAAACCAAAAACCTGCGGTTTTACGGCGTCTAAAAAAACCAACGCTTTTACAGCGTCAGTTTTCGCGGGGGGGGGGGGGGGCCTATCCCTGGACCCAGGCCTGGCCCTTCTAGCCTTACTACTGGGCCTGGACCCCAGGTCCCCAGAAACCTGCGGTTTACCGGCGCCTAAAAAAACCAGCGGTTTAAAGTGGGTCATTCCGCGGGCCAGAAAACCAGCAGTTTAACAGCGTCAAAAAAAACTGGCCAAAACTGGTCCAATTTTTTTCAATTTTTGGGCGTTTTTTTTATAGTTTTGCGGACTGTTGTTTTGGTAGGTTTAGAGCGACTTCGTACGACCTCTTTTAGGTGCATGTCGGTAGCCATGTTGTTTGTGTGCCGTGTCTGGCGACAGCAACCAATGTTTGGTCGCATCTGTAGATCCGAAAGGAGCACCAAAGCAAAGGCCCTAAACCAAATATCGAACAATCGGCACACACCAAGCTCAGATCCGACAGAAGCAACAAAGCAAAGGCCCTAAACCAAATAAAGAACAATCGAAACACCCCAGAAAGCTCGCAGCCCCTTAGGCAACCCGCTTCTGGCTTTGGGCTTTGCCGGGTGGGTTTAGAGAACCAACAGACCAAGCACTCCTGAAGCCCTGCAGAGCCTCCGAAGGCACAGTCTTTAGGGTTTTGCTTTGCCTCCTTTGCACAGGTTCAGAAGGGGACGGTCGTCACCAAGGAGGAGTGGGTGGACTTGTGGCAGGGCCGTCTCACGAGCTTCTTCAAGGCCGGCGGAGGCAGAGGGCGGGGTCGTGCGGCAAACAGAGAAACGGGAGGCACGAAGCAGCCTGAAAGGCTTGCCACCCAGGACTGGTTGAGGGACGTGTCCCACAGTCTCGGGGCGATCGGCTGGGGCTGGTCGTCCTGTGGTCGTTCGGAGACCGCAGCAGCGGGAGCAAGGCCTGTCGCCATGGTCTTCTGCACGGATTGTTCTTTATTTGGTTTAGGGCCTTTGCTTTGTTGCTTCTGTCGGATCTGAGCTTGGTGTGTGCCGATTGTTCGATATTTGGTTTAGGGCCTTTGCTTTGGTGCTCCTTTCGGATCTACAGATGCGACCAAACATTGGTTGCTGTCGCCAGACACGGCACACAAACAACATGGCTACCGACATGCACCTAAAAGAGGTCGTACGAAGTCGCTCTAAACCTACCAAAACAACAGTCCGCAAAACTATAAAAAAAACGCCCAAAAATGGAAAAAAAATGGACCAGTTTTGGCCAGTTTTTTTTGACGCTGTTAAACTGCTGGTTTTCTGGCCCGCGGAATGACCTATTTTAAACCGCTGGTTTTTTTAGGCGCCGGTAAACCGCAGGTTTCTGGGGACCTGGGGTCCAGGCCCAGTAGTAAGGCTAGAAGGGCCAGGCCTGGGTCCAGGGATCCCCCCCCCCCCCCCCCCCCCCCCGCGAAAACTGACGCTGTAAAAGCGTTGGTTCTGCAAGAGCTTTGCCAGCCGCCCTGCCTTCAAAGCAGGACAGGCCGCTCGAAAAAAGAAGGAGAAGCAGGCCGAGAAGTTTGCCAAGGAAAGGGCAGCCGCCATCGCAAGACACTACGACGACGTCGACGAGAACGTGGACGAAGTGGTGAAGGCGAGCCAGCCGGTCGCCGTTCGGGTCTACAGGGACGACCGGAACGGGCGATGGAAGCTGAGTTACTCCACTGTCTGGGCTTACTCGTCTCGCAGCATCTCCTGGACTGCCGTCGGAAGTAAGCAAGCTGGAGCTGAGGCCGTCCGCCAAGGGTGGAAGTGGGCGGAGGTCTTCGAAGGCCTAGAGATGCCCGAGGAAGCCGGCAAGATCCTGAAGAAGCTGGAGGCCTGAGCGACGGCATGTCGCCCTTTGCTTTGTCGTCGGAAGAGGCTCTTCGTCGCAAGGTCGTTCGTAGGTTTTTTGAAGAGCAGCGGGCACTGGAGTCCTCGCAGCCGCAGAAGCCAAAAAGACTGCTTCGTCAGAGCTGAGACAGACCAGCGTGGAAGTTTCCTTTGCCTAGCCCTTCTAGAGCTTGAAACCCGACGTTTCCTTGTTTCGGCCCAGGTCGGTTTGCAGAAGAAGAGCCGGGGGATGCTTCTTGGGCGACTCAGACTCCGAGGCTGGGAACCGTCCTGTGTGCTTCGCCTTGCAGTTGCAGAAGCGTGGGGTTTGCCAGTTAGCAGTTTGTAGACGTCGGACTGCCTGCAAGCCTGAACTTCATCTGCAGCACAAATTTTCGGTTGGAAGGGCTTCTAAAGCTAAGTTGCTGTCATGGGCCGGCCGAAGCTGGCAGAGACGGGTGGCAGCAGGCCACCGAGTGCGTATGCGCTCTTCTGTGGCTGGGTCGCTCGGGAAGGCCTGACGGTCGCTCAGGCCGCTCGTCGCCGCATCCACGGAAAGAGGATGGTTCGAGACAAGCCCTCCATGAGTCTGAAGTGGTGCCCTAGCTGAGTGGGATGCTTTCTAAGTATTTAAGACTTCAGAATAAAGCATTGTTTAAGGGTGGTGCGTTTCAGTGTTTTTCAGGTGCGTTTCAGGTGCGTTTCAGCTTTTCTCCAAGGGTTTTGCTTGTTTTAGTGCTTTACGGCTACAACTGTTGCCAAGTCGCAGTGAGTAGGTGTTTAGCATGACACACAGCTGGGTCCTTCTGCCTTCACATAGTCATAGCAAAGCGGGATCTGCTGAAGAGCCCTGGACTCTCGTGTTTAGTATATATTACTATACTGTATAAGACATTGTGAGTCGGTAAACCCTAAGTATAAGACCCATTAGGAAAGGGTGGTGCGTTTCAGAGTTTTTCAGGTGCGTTTCAGGTGCGTTTCAGCTTTTTTCCAAGGTTTTTGCTTGTTTTATGTCTATACAGTCTATACAGAAGGCGTGATGGTATAGATAGTGCAGTTTCTCTAAGGTTTCAAACACTTTGGCTCGAAACCAAACAGACCTGAACCTTCCATTTTTTCATTCTAGTAGTAGCCTTTCAGTTTTCGTCTGAGGCTTGCAGAACTCGACCCCCTATCCTGACTGAGACCAAAGACCCAACACATAAATACGTGTATCCCAATCGAAGCTCGGCTCGCCTTGTGCTTTGCCTCCGCTCAGGAAGCACAAGAAAAGCAAGGACATTCGGAAAAGGTTTTTCGCAGAGGCCAGACAGCATTACGAGGACAACCGCAACAAGGCCACCGCTTTTCTGAAAGGGCAGGGACCTCCGGCTGCTGCAGTGAAACAAAACGAGGGAAGCAAGGACGTTCGGAGGGCAGAAGAGGACGACGAGAAGTGGCGTGACACACAGGACGTGCTCCTGGACGTCTGGACTTGGACTCTCGGGTTGCCACTGGGGCCGCTGGAGCCGGCAGGCGAGGGGTCCTACGGCATGGTCTTTCGCTCAAGCTTCCAACACCAGCCGCTCGTGCTGAAAGTGGCTAAAGGCCGAGGGCCAGAGGGCATGCGACAGGTCGCTGCGGCCGGACAGGAGGTTGCGGACGAGTTCGGCGTTCTCACAGCCGTCGGCCAACACCCAAACGTCGTGCGAGCGTTCGCGGTTCTCACCAGCTCCCTTGGTCGGCCGGCCTTGCTGCTGGAGGCAGCCACGGAGAGCTTGCGTGCCGCCACTCGCAGGCTCAAAGACGACCGAGTCTCCTGGCCGACAAACCGCAAGACACTTCTGCCGTTCTTCCAGCAGTTCCTGCTCGGCCTCTCGTACGTGCACGGCCGTTCGTTTTTGCACCTCGACATCAAGCCAGACAACATTCTGGTCTTTAACGACGTCCGAGCTGCCGTCGCCGACTTCGGACTCGCCCAGAAGGTTGTGCAGGATGGCTGTTCGGTCATCGGCAGTCGGGCCTACAGCGAAGCTTTCCGCTGCCCGGAGTGCCTCCTTGCAGCCGACAGCCAGGTGTGGGGATAACTAGACAATCTGAAGTCTCCAGAAGCCACTGAAATCGCCCAATACTCGTCAAAATTTCGATTAGTTCCTAGTTTCTGAATAAGAGTTCGAAGCCTAGTGCAGAACCCCGGCCCCTTCAGCCCTTTACTCACATGACCCCTGGAGGTGCGAGTGACGTTCGCAGCAGACGTCTGGGCGGCGGCCGTGACCTTCTTCGAGACTTTCTGCCCGCCGAAGACGTCGCTCTGGAAAGTCTCCCCGCAGACGTTCGTGCGGGAGACGGAGGAGGCCACTGCCAGGTCTGTTCGCGACATGGCCACTCAGCTTTCGGCCAAAGTGATGCCGTACGACAAGATCATGCTCCAGGTGCTCGAGAGGTCGTTCGTGCCGGCAAAACAGAGGCTGTCTCTTGCCACCTTCCTGGCTCTGACTGAGAAGCCGGTCACTCCAAGGCCGCTCGCTGAATGAAAGTAGGTCGACCGTGAGATTTGCACAACGATGGCTTCGCGAGCGATGAGAAAAGACTCACAACCCATGAGAGTTCGATTGCTGCTGTGTCTGCCTCGCTGACCCTTAAGAAGTTTCTGAAAGTAGACCGTCAAGCCTCCTTGCTTTGTGCCAGGTCTTTCGACGACACCTTCGTTCAGCAGCAGACTGCTCCGGTCGCCTCAAACTGGCAGATTTGGCACTCGTGCTGCTTCGCACCTATCGTCGTTCGAGTCGCCTTCGGAAAGGCACTCTAACTACTGATTGGATAAGAAATACTTATTCTCAGCAGCATGCCCCAAACTTGTGTAAGCTCAGAAATCTTGAGTAGGAGACAACAGTGATGAATATACAATGGGCCAAACCAGAAAAAGTGCCAATCGTTTAGGCACCCGAGACCTGCAACGAAGCATTAGGTGCTGTTGCAGATGGATAGTTGAACATAGAATGCACTAGCTGCCTTTCCTGTGTTTTGCAACACTTAAACAAGTTTTTCCGAAGTTTTTCTCAGCCTCCGTAAACCCGAACACAAGCAACACTCCTACACTGCATGAGGCATCTTTTTTTCGCTTGTGCCACGATGTGTTTCTGCTTGCCCAAAGAGATTTTGCAGTGCCCAAAACTGTCAAGAGAATGATGTATCTTGAGACCGCAACCATACGAAAAGCATGCCTCCAAGCAAAGGTGCTGAACAACCCTGCATGCATACCCTACACACCCATGTAAGCCCTCGGAATTTCCCGACTTTTGACACGAGCGGCTATGAAATCAGCTGCATTTCGGGCAGTGAAAAGCATCAAAAAGAGCCAACGACAAGCATCATCGAAATTGAGCCGCCGAAACAACTTCCCAGATGCCGGTTTTCAGCCTTGCCGTATCCAGGCCCCCCAGGGCCAAAACCAGCGCTTTAAAGTAGCCTACCTTTTAACGTAGGTAATCCGGCCGCCCAAGTTTTTGGTTAAGCTACTTCTATGCGTAGAACCCTATATAAGGTAACCAGGAACTACAATTGAGGCTATACCCTAAGGCCCCAAAGTAGTTCCTTTTTGGGGTTACCTTATAAAATTCTAAATATGAGCCCCAAAAAGGAACTACTTTGGGGCCTTTGGGTAGGTCGGCTTCAGCTTCTGCTTCATAGTCTTGTTGTCGGCTTCTAAACATAGCAAGACAAGAAGCAACCAGCAATAGGCAAGCGGAAACAACCAGTCGCACGCGCATACATACATTCTTGCTTACCTAATATAGGTTTGAATGTAAGTCGAAAATTTCCATAACATGGTATATATATGTATATGTATGTCTCTGAGTATGTAAGTATGCACGTATGTACGTATGCACGCAAGGTTGTATATATGTAGGTACGCAGGACTTCTGGATTTTTGCCTCCCGCGGCCCTTGGAAATCTCGTAGAACCCGAAAACCCTGCGGACTTCGCGGCCCTCAAACGTCCCGCTTAAGGCCTATGTGTAGGTTTTAGGGTTTCCATCCCGAAGCCTTCAAATTAGACTGAACTTCATGTTGGATAGTTGGATACACGCAGAGCTTAGACGATTAGACTCAACAGCTTCACACCCCTAACGTCCACACACACATATAGTATAGTATGCCCTCAACACCCTACTTTCCTTATCAAGGCCCGTAGATGATGCATTTCAGCATTTGCAGAAATTGCTTCATCCGAAGGTTCCCCACTTATCAAGTACCGCGGATTGTCCGTAAGCTCGTATGTAACAATGTAGGGGGAGTACATGCCGGGCATGTCAGTGTGGCAAGCGGAGTATGGGTGTACTGTACTTGGAGGGTCGGGGGACTTAGTAAGTAGGTAGTAAGTAGACTTATAAGTACCTTAAAAGGGACCCTAATTGGGGTTATGGTACTTATAAGTCCTTAAAATAACCAGTTACTAAGTCCCCCGACCCTCTAAGTGGGCAGTGGACTCCCCAAACCCTGAAAGCTACACCCCAAACCTGGTTTGGGATTTTGCATTCGAGTTCCGGGATTCAAGCTCAGGGTTGAAGCGCCCCAGCCGAAAATGCAAAAGGACTGTAACAAGACCCTTAGCCGGGTAAAGAGCATCAGACTGTTCAGAAACCCTTAACCTCATCCTCAAGCACTGTATTTTGTTTAGCCCTAAACCCTGAACCCTAAACAGGGTTCTGGGAAATGTTACAAGTCCGAGGGGGAGCCTGTGCAAACGAAAGTCATTCTTCCCACACTCCCATAAAGTCCGTCCTCCTGAGCCTTTCCAACCATGCAGAGTGCCTTTTTCGAGTAATGTTGTAGCAAGTCCGTCAGAAGACACGTTTGGAACAACAGCAGGAAGTTGGGCAAGATGAGTCACTTCCTTGTCGGGTGTCCGGACAGTATCGAAGATTAATGTAAAGGGCGTCTGAACCCGAAACCCTAAACCCCTAAACCCTAAACCCTAGTGATGTTTTGGCAAGACTTAACAAACGCAATGCAGAAACCATTCCGTCGCCTGTCACTGTTGCCTCTGTGCCGGTGTGCAAGCAGCAAGATGCATTAGCGCATTCCCGTCTCCTTGCCTTTGGTTAGTAGGGAATGGGGGAATGGTAGTAATAGTCGTTATAATTGTACCCCAGTCTTCCATTCCCTACTTTTTATTCTTTGCTAGCCAAAGGAAAGTCTCCTGAAAGAGAGAACAGGCTGCCGCAACAAGTTTTCCAAAGAGAGGAATATTGCCTGAAGATACGTTGCTTTCGCCGGAGTAGAACGGAGTTCATCCGAACATGGAGCTCATCACAACTTCCAAGTATATCTGCCCTAAACCCTTGAACCCTAAACCCCCTAAAACCCCTCAACCCCTAAACCCCCTAACCCCTAAAACCCCTTAAACCCCCCAAACCCCTAAAACCCCTTAAACCCCCCAAACCCCTAAAACCCCTAAGCCCCTAAACCCCCCTAAACTCTAAGCCTAGGCCGGCTCTGCCGCTGCACAAGAACTGTGAGCTGAGCCCTCCAATCATGTCTCGGTTCGACCTTTTCTTTGTTCTCCAGGCGGGTGTAGGGTTTAGGATTTAGGGTTTAGGGTGTAGGATTTAGGGTGTAGGATTTAGAGTTTAGGGTTTAGGATTTAGGGTTTAGGGTGTAGGATTTAGGGTGTAGGATTTAGAGTTTAGGGTTTAGGATTTAGGGTTTAGGGTGTAGGATTTAGGGTGTAGGATTTAGGGTTTAGGGTTTAGGATTTAGGGTTTACGATTTTCGGGTTGAGAGTTTCAGCAGGGCTCTTGAACTCAAAGCCCCTGGGGCACAGTTTCAGGGTTTAGGGTTAAAGGCTTAGGGTTTCTAAACTCGAAACCCCTAGAGCCCTAAACGCGAGGTAAGATTTGGGGTTTAGGCTGCGAAGTAAGATTTGGGGTTTAGGCTGCCTTTTCGAGTTTCAGGGAAAAGGCCTGGGGGTCGTAAGGTTTTCTGTTTGATTCGACGTTCTCTCAGTTTTGGCAAAGGGGAAAAGGAGGGACCCTTAATGGGGACCCCCCTACCCTATAATGGGCTATGTAATGGGCATGTAATAGCTATATTAAGGGTATATACCTAGGGGTCCTTTGTAAGTCCCTCCTTTTCCCCTTTGATTTTGTGTATTCACGCAGGCTTTATTTTTGTAGTATGTACTGGTTTGTGCAAGGGTTTTATTGATTTCAGTTTTGAGGTTTAGCACCTGCGCTATTGGGGTTCGAGAGGTTCGGGTTAAGAGGTTTGGGTTGAAGGTTTATGGCGCAGGGTTGAGGCAGAGGTGAACCAGGGATCAGTGGGTGGTTTGGGAGTCAGCGTCAAGACCCTCTTGGTTAGGCAGTTTTCTGTTTGTGTGCGGCGCAAGCCTGTCACTGTTCTTTTTCAGGCTTTTCATTTGTCTTCTATTTTTTTGTCAAACTGGATTTGGGTTTACGGCTTAAGGCTTAGGGTTGAAAAGCATGGACACAACAAGCAAACACATGTGGAAAATACACGCACTTGGCCTAACACCCATCACGCCTTATAATAATCGACCTGACACCTGTTGCTACGGCCCTGAATACCTTAAGCCTAGAAGGTTAAACCTAACACCTCCTACTACCCTAAAAGCTTTGACTTCAAGCCAAGGCCCAATTGCAGAAGCCCGTTTCGTGGCTATTTCAACAAGAAGTCTGGGTCTAGTCAAGTAAATCTAGGGTGTTTGAGGAGGCTGCATCATTCGTGTCGGCACTTGTGCGGTTGGGCTTCTGGCTTCGCAACCTCGCATCAGGACATCCGTGACGAAACCCAAGACAGCAACGTGGCCAAGCACATCCTTCAGCAGCACTACACCAAGGACGGGATCTGCTCACAGTCTTACCTGGGGTATTACCTAACCCAAAGGCTCCATGTAGCCAGATAGTATACACTTATACCCTAAAGTACCCATACAGGAACCCCTTTAAGGCCCAAGTATATACTCTATGGGCACATGCAGCCTGAGGGTAAACCATCCTAGACCCAAAGCCACCAACCCAGGACCATGAGCGATAAAGTACGATTTAGGGTGCAGGGCTCTTTTTCAGGTCTTGGGCAAGGTTTGGGAGGAGTGTGTTGTGGACAGAGGTGCGTTTGGACTGTTTCCCGTGGGCCAGTGGGGTTGTAGCGGTATCGAATTTCAAGTTTGGGCTGCCCGTGCGTGTGAGTAGCAGCTATGATGATTGCAGTCGTATGGCCGGTAGCAGTCGTAGTAGTAGTCGTCGCAGTCGTAGTCGTACCAGGCGTAGTACGTAGTATTCGATGTCGTCAGCGTCGTCGGTGTCGCGTTTCACGTAGTCGGAATCGTAACCACTGCAACACAGTGACGGTCGTGGTCGTCGTAGTCAGTAGTCGTCGTCGTCACCGTATTGGTACAAGCACAGTGCTAGCACTAGTCCAGCACCAGCAGCAGCAGCAGCAGCGGCAGCAATAGCACGAGTGCTAGTCGTGGCAGCAGTATAGTAGTATATACTGGTACTAGCACTTGCACTAGCCCTAGGCGAGCAGTAGCAGCAGCATCCCCGGCACGAGAAGTAGTCAATAGTCAATGCGCGGGGGGTGGTGGCGTTCGCGGTGGCAGTTGAAGAGCACAAACTACGACTTTCTCGCATTGTTGACGAGAGCGTCAGTACTGTTATGCTGGCTAAGTACTTGCACTCACGAGAATAATTGCTGTTGTTGTTGTTGTTGCTGTTTTTTTGCTGCTATTGTTGGTTGCGGCCATTTGTTGTTAGTTGTTATTGGTTCTTGGTGTGCTGTTGCTGTT